GGGCCAGGGGGGGGGGCAGAAGGTGGGGGGAGAAAGGTGGGGGGAGAAAGGTGTGCAGACAATATGTAGGCAGTACAATGACAAGAAAGACCAGTAAAGGATACCTGAAGTAGTGTGCAAGTCTCCAAAATACCCCTACTGTGCTGCCGATTTGGGGTGCAAGTTTCCAAAATACCCCTATTGTGCTGGAGATTTGGGGGTGCAAGTTTCCAAAATACCCCTATTGTGTTGCAGGATTGGGGTTGACATATACCAAAGGACTCCAGCAAGCAAAGGGCCTCGCTCCACTGCAGAACATTTCAAATGTATCTGGATCTGGTGATCGTCCCGATACATTCAAAATGGTTTTTGGCCAGTCCGAATGCACTTGGAGCACGTGGCACTCCAGATACGTTCAGAGTTTTGCATAACGGAGCAAGAGCCATATTGCCTACAGGAATCTAAGCAACGACGATATGACCAAAGGGAACGGACACAGATGCAAGATGCAATTTACACAGGAACGTGAGATCCCATCATTGACTGCGAAGAGGGAACAGAGACGGAACACAGAAAGTACCGAGAAGAAGAAAGAGAGAGACAAGAAGGAAAAAGAGAAGAAGAAAGAAGGGACAGAGATAAGAAACAGAGAACACTCGGAAGGGAGAAGACCACCAACCTTGCAAGATGTGAAAGAGAGAGAGTAACAAACAGAGGCAGGAAAGAGAGAGGGGCGGAAAGGCAGGAGAAGAGGAGCGGAGAAGAGAAACCAGAGAGAATAAGCAGAGAGGGATGAAGCAAGAGCAACGAGCAAGAAATGGGAGTAAAGCATCGATACACACAATGGGACAAAGGGGCTACTGGACCAATCCACAGGAGCAGACAACGTTGAGGAACAGAGGACGGACAGAGAATGAACAGACAGAGAAGGAAACCAATGAACGGACAAGGAACAGAGCAGGAAACCAAGGAACGGACCAGGAACAGAGAAGGAAACCAAGGAACGGACCAGGAACAGAAGAGGAACGGAAACAACAAGAAACAGACAGCAAACACAGGAACAGACGACGGACAGAGAAGGAACAGAGAAGGAAACCAAGAAACGGACCAGGAACAGAGAAGGACACCTAGGAACGGACCAGGAACAGACAAGGAACGGAAACGACAAGGAACAAACAGGGCACGGACAAGGTTGAGACAGGAAACACAGGAACAGAGGACGGGCAGAGAAGGAACAGAAGGAAACCAAGGAACGGACCAGGAACAGAGAAGGAAACCAAGGAACGGACCAGGAACAGAGAAGGAAACCAAGGAACGGACCAGGGACAGACAAAGAACGGAAACGACAAGGAACAGACAGGAAACACAAGAACAGAGGACGGACAGAGAAGGAAACCAAGGAACGGACAAGGAACAGAGAAGGAAACCAAAGAACGGACAAGGAACAGAGAAGGAAACCAAAGAACGGACAAGGAACAGAGAAGGAAACCAAGGAACGGACAAGGAACAGAGAAGGAAACCAAAGAACGGACAAGGAACAGAGAAGGAAACCAAAGAACGGACAAGGAACAGAGAAGGAAACCAAGGAACGGACAAGGAACACAGAAGGAAACCAAAGAACGGACAAGGAACAGAGAAGGAAACCAAGGAACGGACAAGGAACAGAGAAGGAAACCAAGGAACGGACMAGGAACAGAGAAGGAAACCAAGGAACGGACCAGGAACAGACAGGGCACGGACAAGGAACAGAGAAGGAAGCACAGGAAAAGCAAAGACTAGGAACGGCAAAGGAACAGGGAAGGAACAGCGAGGAACAGCAAAAGGCCAAAGATAGGTTCTGCAGGATTGCAATACAAAAATATATTTTGGCTGAGGACAATCTCGAAATTCGTAGCCAATCCAAGGAAAAAGAATAAAAAAGTTCTTTTAACTTTTTTTATTAAAAAAAAAGAGTTCTTTAACTTCTTTTTCAGTCCGGACAGTCTGGAGCAGTCCAGAAACAGGTCCGGCCAGACGTCTGGACTGGTCCAGTGTCCGGGTCCACCGTAACCATGCATATTACACCATTCACTTTTTTTTTTCCTTCTTTTTCCTTTTTCTTTGTTGAATTTATCTTTTCCTTTTCCTTTCTTAATTTTTTTCCTTTTTTTTCTTCTTAATTTTCCTTCATCCCATTTCTGTTTTCCCTAGGCTACCAGGACTTGCAAGGCCGAGGGTGCCCCAGCCATGCAACCATGTGGGTCGCCCGGCCGTCTGCCCACCCAGATACCATGGGCATTTAAAAACCCGTGTTTTTTTTTTTTTTTTTTTTTTTTTTTTTTTTGGGTCCCCTGGGACTTTTCTACACCCACCAAATGCAGCCTGGACCTGGGGGAAAGAGGGTATTAAAAGGGTTTAGAGGTGGGTGCCTTAGTCTGATTTTTTTTTATTTTTTTTTAATCTAAGATTCAATCAGGAATTCAGATTTGACCCTCAGCCAAAACTTGCCTTTTTATTCTTTAAAAAAGAAAAAATCAACAAGGGTCAGCGAAAACTAGCTTGCATTGCAATTCTACACAAGTTTTTCTTTTGCAGAATATGATTTATTTATTTTTTTCATTTCTTTTTGCATTTGGCACTGGGGCTGTGCTGGCCCCTGCCAGGGGGTGCTGCGCGAATGGGCAGCCAGCTGTGTGACCGCGCACAACAACCCGGCCAGCCGTGTCTGAGCACAACACTCTAGCCCCAGCACACGGAAAAACAGCTTCGTTTTTTCCTTTTTCCTTTTTCTTTTTCTTTTCTTTTTTTCTTTTTTTCGTTTTCTTTTTTTTTTTCTTTTTTCTTTTTTTCGTTTTCTTAAATTAAGTTGGACTTTCCTTTTTTCATTTTTGCTTCTTTCTTTTTTTGTGGTAGCCGTTGCCAGACCTGTGTATGTAGCATGTATGCTTCGAGCCTGTGAGCGAAATTTTCGTTTCTTTTTCCTCTCTTTTTTTCTCTTTTTTTTTTTGCTTTTAGGATGTGTGCATTCACAAAGTCCAGGACATACGCTGTGAACAACTGAATACCAAGCACACACCGTTCGTTTCTTTTTTTTTTTTTTTTTTTTCCCCTCTTTCTTCCCCCTTTTCTTTTCTTTTTTTTTGTTCTGAAGCATTTGTTCCCAGTTAGTTAAACCACCAGTACCTCCGAGCCTCATTTTACCGCCGTCAATTTCTCCCCACATGCCAAAGAAAACGAACCTGCATTCTCCCAAACAAAAAAGTTCTGCGTCCCAAAAAAATTATGCCTGGTTCATCCAGCCATTGAGGTCCAGCAGCACCGTTCATCCCAAAATTGCATCACAAAATTGTGTCCGAAATTTGCGTCCGAAATTTGCATCCAAAATTTGCGTCCGAAATTTGCGTCCGAAATTTGTGACTGAAATTTGCGTCCGAAATTTGCGTCCGAAATTTGCGTCCGAAATTTGTGTCTGAAAATTACGTTTGTATACAAATCGTCTCATTCTGGAAATTGCGGTCTTATATAAATCGTCACCTTCTGGAAATTGTGTGCTCGTTGAGACCTTTGCCTGTGAAAGACATTGGTGGCTTAACCCCAAAAACCTGAGCCTCCGGTCCGGTTCCTGCTCACAGGAATGAAACCCAGATACAGACATACATACAGACACAGAAATACATACATATATAATTGACGATATGTATATATCGTCAAACAAAGCTGCCCCGTAAACCGTAGGCAGAGAGTGAGAAGAGGACAAAAAACGAGGGGCCATGACAAACTGTTTCGTCGGAGTTTCACCGACTCATCAGGAGGCTGATCGGTAAATCGTCGGCACAGAGGGAGAAGAGGACGACAAACGAGGGGCTGTAACAACCTGTTTCGTCCGAGTTTCACCCCTCGTCAGGAGGATGAACCCTCTAGTCGCTGCAGAGTCCCCAAACCGAAGATGATACTGTAAGTGGTAATCCACCTTAACCTTGGTTGCCCAACAACTGATACCTTGAGATGGTGGGGACCACCAAGGACTGGTCTCAAGGTTCCTGTGACGGAAATCAAAGCAGACTATCACTCACCCACACCAAACGGAAAACTCTACAGACCGCAGGTTAGAGAGAGAGAGAGAGAGAGAGAGAGAGAGAGAGAGAGAGAGAGAGAGAGAGAGAGAGAGAGAGAGAGAGAGAGAGTCATTGATTTAGTCATAGTAAACTGCCTGGTAAACGTTCGTCAGAGAGGGAGAAAAGTAGGGCGAGACAGGCCATGTGCGCACTTGTGTGTAGACGGGTATGTGATCAGACAGGCAGGCAAGGGGGCTGGCCAGGCCCGCAAGTCCGCAGGCCGAGCCTGCTGCCCTTTTCATCAAGCTACTGATAGGATCGAGCAAGCACCACAGTTGACGGATGAGCAAATTGCTGAGTTTGCAGATGGGCAAATGAGCAAATTTGTTGAGTTGCCAGATGGCCAAATGTGAGTCGGCAGATAGGCAAATGAGCAAATTGCTAAGTTGGCGGACGGGCAAATGAGCAAATTGCTAGTCGACCAATGGGCAAATGAGCAAATTGCT